ATGAAAGGTGCTCAGAGGCCCCAGCCCAGAGCTCAGCCTTAGAGGGCCATTGGCTAAGGTGTGAGTGTCAGAATCTTCCCTGGCTGTGACTCCAGAGATGTCCTGGAAAGCCAGAGAGCAGGTCCCTATGTGTTCTGCTTGGTCACTGGTGTGAGGAGAGATGAACACCAAGTGCCTGTTGTGTCGGGGACTCAGCTTCACAGAAATAGAGAAAGGACAGGAGTCGGGGAGAGAGGAGAGTGGGGGGAAGAGAGAAGCCAAGCCCACAGCTCAAACCTGTCCATGTAGAGCAGTCGCACCACCTAGTGGTAAAGCTCAAGATGATTTAGGAAAAGAACAGATAGTCCAGAGCTGGGGAGAAGCTGGTGACATCCTCCTCTAGAGGGAGTGTCTGGGACTTGTGATGTCCCACTACTTAGAGCCCTAGGAAGGGCCTGGAAGCCTTCCAGCCCCTCCCCAAGGCAGAGCAGCCCATTCTGAAAGGGCACTCTGATAGTACAAAATGTGAAGGAACAGCCTTCAGTCCTACCTGCCCTTGGCTGAAAGAGCCACCTAGCTCAAGGTCACATGAAGGTCACACTCTTTGTGGGAACAGCCAACATCCAGTGACTAGCCGATGAAGGAATATAAAAACCTGGCAAGTGCCATCCCATTTCAGAGTTCCCCAGGAGGGTTGGTTGAGACCCCTGTGAGACCAACTTCTTCCTCTACCTGATCGATCCTACTTCCTTCCCTGCCATCAAAGCTGGTGACCCAGAGACCTCTCCCCAGTAAACTCCCCGCCCTTCAACCTACATTTCACAGTCAGCTTCCCCAGAGCCCAACTCGCACTATCTCATGTATCACATATCAGATGTCGCCAACCGGTGGTCCACAGACCACTGGTGGTCCGTGAGGTCCGAAAGGTTGGCGACGCTGTCATATATGACGTGTCTGAATAGAGATTCAGAGCAGCTGTCTGGAGCAGGACCCCCCTCCTTCTGAATCCCCCCCCCCCATCCGCTTCTGCTCCACACCCCACTGTGCCTCTCAGTCACTTGGTGCACCGACTCCTTCAGGAGCCTCACAGATTTCTTGCCCACGTGAGTGCTAACGTCTGAAAGGGTGTTGGCAGGCATCCCCGTAGCTGCACTGTCTCCTTGGCCGAGGGCCGGCGGAGAGACCTCACACTGCACAGACAGCCTCCAAGGAGTCCCGGCAGAAGCTAAAGACACTGACCAGACGGCTCCAGCCCCTCCTGGCAGGCCCTGTTTGATGCCCTCCGACTACAGAATCTGTATTTCCCGGCATACCACTGACCTATCTCTGCCACATGAAGCTCTAAACCTGTCAAACCCACGGCCCGTGAGTTGCTTTTCCTTTATGTCTTTTTTGAGGGCCCTGTTCATAGCATCCAGTAGCAGCATTGCTTGATGTAAAGGGAGGGTAGTCCCTCTCTATCTTCTATACGATGTTGAACAGTTTCGTGACTACCTGCCCAACAGGTCGCCAGGGCGTGTCATCCACGGTTAGTACCAGGTAAAAAGGTGTTATGTGGATCCGTGCTGTCCAGCAGGATGTTCTGTGATGACAGAACTGTTCTGTGTCTGCACTGTCGTTTCCAGTAGCCTTGGGGCCGCTGAGTAATGGAAATGGGGCTAGTGCAGCGGAAGACCTACATGTTTGCTTTAATTTAGTTTTAATTAATTGAAAAAGTCACCGGTGGCTACTTCGTTGAATAGCACACATGTAGAATCAGAAGTGGAACGTGAAAACTTAAAATCCCTTTATCCCAACTTTAAGGTTTTCTGGGTGCATTGCTCTCAGTTTACCTGGCGTTTATAGTAACACACAGGCTTGGAGGGTTCGTGTTCTTCTAGGTCAGCGGTTCTCAACCTGTGGGTCGCCAACCTGTGGGGGTTGAACGACCCTTTCACGGGGTCACCTAAGACCATTGGAAAACATATAATTACATATTGTTTTTGTGATTAATCACTATGCTTTAATTATGTTCAATTTGTAACAATGAAAATACATCCTGCATATCAGATATTTACATTACGATTCATAACAGTAGCAAAATTACAGTTATGAAGCATCAACAAAAATGGTTGGGGGTCACCACAACATAAGGAACTGTATTAAAGGGTTGCGGCATTAGGAAGGTTGAGAACCACTGTTTATATATGTGTTTTCCGATGGTCTTAGGCAACCCCTGTGAAAGGGTCGTTCGACCCCCAAAAGGGTCCCGACCCACAGGTTGGCGACCCACAGGTTGAGAACCGCTGTTCTAGATCATCTATAAGACACCAAATAGGCTCTCCTAACAGTTTCTAAGAACTTCATCTTCACACTTCACCAGCCAGAGACATGCACACTGAAGCAGCTGTTTCTAAGTCCTTTCATTTTTTTTCATGACAAGTGGCCCTCAAGCCCTATCCTCAGTTCTTCTACTCCCACCCCACCCCCAGTGACACATTTGGTTTGAAATCTCTGCAGATACTTCTGAAAAAGTAAAGTAAATCACACCTGCAGGTTCCCAGGCCAACTTATCCAAAATACATCCTCTGGCTGGACATGACTTCCCACGTGCAGATGACCGTGTGGTTTGGGGGGGCTATTTTTGCTTGCTGTGTTAGGCGATGTTGCCCCTTACCATAAACCCCACGTCCTTGGGGAACAGAGCTGGGCGCATTGGCGTCTCTTGGTCCCTGCAACTCTCCATCACTGGCACAGCAGCCATTTCAAACACAAAACACATTTTTGTCAACAGTTGCTTGGCTTTCATTCTTGAGGTTCTCAGGTAAGGGCCATAATTGATGGGACCCCAATTGAATGCTTCCTGAGAGTCGAACACCAGGTGATCCGGCCCCTCCAATTCTCCCATCTCAGGGCCTCCTTTAGGAATGGGAACCTCCCTCACATGCTCTTTAGCAGAGAGCTGGCAAGACTGTGACTTGTCAGGTCACTCGGCTCAGTAGAAGCAGCAGAGTGTAGCAGCTCATTAAAGGCTTCCAGAGCTAGCTGCCAAGGGTTCAAATCCCACCTCTCCACCAATGTGGCTTTGGGCAAGTTATTCCCTCTGTCAAATGGGGGTGATGGCAGTCCATCTCCCCTGGGGTCCTGATAAGGACAAAGCAAGTTGGTGTGCATAAAGCATTTATTTACAGCAGCACTTGCCACGAAGTAAGTAGTATGAGCTATGTAGTATGAGCCATTTTTATTATCATAAGCAAGCCTTTCTTCATCGGGTTATTTCTGGCAAATGTTTTTTGTTTTGTTTTTCTCTTTGGAAATAACTCAGGAGGCTTTCTTTAAAGCCTGCTTTTGGCCCTAGCTGGTTTGGCTCAGTGGATAGAGCACCCACCTGTGGACTGAAGGCTCCCAGGTTCCATTCTGGCTAAGGGCACGAACCCTGGTTGCAGGCTTCTCCCCAGCCTGGGGCCCTGGTCAGGGCGCGTACAGGAGGCAACCAATTGATGAGTTTCTCTCATGTCGATGTTTCTCTCTGTCTTTCCCTCTCTCTCCCACTCTCTCTAAAAACCAATGGAAAAATATCCTCAGGTGAGGATTAACTAAATAAAGCCTGCTTTTGCCGCTTCATGCCCAGCTTTCACCAAGTTTGTCGTACACCCCAATCTTCTCTGTTCGCCTCACTTGGATTCTCCCACTTATTCACAGTGAGGCAGCAGAAGGAGCTCTCTCCCGGAATCTTGTTTAGTTGGCATTTTGGGGCACACACTTTCCAGAGTTTCCAATAATATATTTTAAAAGTTTTTGATTTATGAACATCTGCCTTCACCTTCTCTCATTCTAAAGCAAAACAGATGATCATCACATTTCCTTCCCATTCAGCCCCGTGAAACCTCACTTTTCCTTTTTTTTTCTTCCATCCCAGCTCCCAGACTTCCCTGTGGGAGTGGGGTGGGTTGTTGTGGGCCCAGGGCTGAGGAGCTGGCGTTCTCCATGTCCAGTCGGGACCTGGAGGAAGCAGGACCAGGGGGAGAGCTGGGAAGGCGGAGGCATCACAAAGACAAATGCACTTTATTGGTAAGGCAACAGCATTACAAGGGATGAGGCAGAGACCCCATCTGGCCAGGGCCACCCTGGGGGTGGGGGTTCTGATTCACATTGAGACACAGGCTGAGGTGTCCCTCACCCTTCTGATGGGTCAGTGGGGTGACAACCCCGGGAAGGGAGGCAGGGGGTTGGGATCTAGACTTGCTCTGTCTAAACTCCAGCACTTCCCCCAAAGGACTGGGTTGGCCACTGGGGGAACGAGCAACGGGGTCTGAGCTCAAGCGTGGTGTAGTGAAAAGAGCACAGGACCTGAAGTCCAAAGTCGGGGTCCGGTCCTGGCGCTACTTCTAACTAGTTATACGAGTTGGGGTGAGTCACGCCCTCCTCTAAGCGGCAGTTTTCTCTAATAAGGAGGCTGAATGACATTAGCGATTTTCAAACTTTTTCTCCCACTGAATAGCAAGCTGGACCAATGTGTTTTGCAGCTAAAAATCAAATAACAAGGGTCTCCCCCAAAGTTACAAAACAACAACAATGACAACAATAATTACTGTATAGAATTTTCACAATATAAGTTCTCCCCCCATAAATATCTCTTAATCAGTGGTGCCTACTACCCGCTATATTAGAGTGTAGTGCGAAGTGGAGACGGATTCCAAAAACAACTCACATCTAATAAACACAAGATTCGGCCATGAGGATGCTATTCTGCAATGAGGACTGTGGCTGCCAGATGTTTCCCACCTGAGGACACGCGGGGCCAGGTGGGCACTGATGGCTCTGGCTGTGGTAAGTCGGGTTGCTCCCGGCATTTTCAGGGGACACAGATGCAGGTGGAAGGGTGTCCTACTGACATGAACTCCTCCGTATTGAGACCTTGAATATGGCTGTGTCCACCAAACTCAAGAGACTATCTGAAGGACCCCTGGGGACTCCTGGGAGAACCCTCTATGTTGGTCCCACATACCTACACTGAGGAACCCGCCCCCCCCACCCCCCCCACCCCCCCCCTCCGCCCAGAGTAAACGGACCTCGAGTTGCCATCTCCTGGGCTGGTCTGGCTACGAGGAGCACAAAGTTTGAAGTTATGTACCCCACCCCCACCCTGCCCGCCAGGCTCCTTATGACTTTGGGGTGGTGGAGCGAGAATAAGAGGGGAACCAGCCCCACACAACTCCACCCCTAAATGCTCTCCGACTAGGCACAGAGGCCAGCCCATTCTTTCTGCACCCACATCCTGAGGTCTCAGAGCACAGCTCCTGGGTCTCCTGAAGGAATGGCCACCTTAGAACTACAGCTAGGTGGGCAGGGAGAGTGTGACTTAGGCTGTTGGGGTCTGGAGGGCCCTCACCTCCATCCCACCCACCAGGTGGAAAAGACGTGGCCCCTACTGGTAAGCAGAGCACTGCTTCTCTAGACTATGGGGTGGTGGGAGAGTGGGGGGATCTTTGGGTCATCCTTGGCCATCCTAGGGTGAGGTCCCACCAGCACCCGTGGCCACAGTGGGAGGGCCCGGGAGCTTGCAGCAGGTTCCCTCTCTGGGGTGGGAGGTAAGGCACTGGCAGGGAGGGTGAGGACGGTGCCTGGAGCTTCCCTGCAACCTGGGGGCACATCAGTCCTGCCACATGGATTGTTGCAAGGAGAACTCCTGCCTCAGCTAACCTCTTAGATCCAGGCTGAGGAGCCAGGGGACAGTTGTGGCCACCACCCACTACTTTTCTGTAAGGCAGGGTTTGCCTGTGTCCCACCACTGGGCCCTGCTTTCTTCCCTCCTTCGCTCTCCCAGCAGGTGGGTTTTGGGCCAGTGGCCCAGCCATAGGGAGAAAGCTCCCTCACCATAGCTACTTCCAAGGAGAACGTTACCATGGGGATGGGATGAAAGTGGGCTCTGAGGGAAAGGCAAGTGCACTTTGGCCAACAGGGATGGGTGAGGGGGGAGTTGTGACCTTAGTCACCCAGTTTTTGGTCATTCTTGGCAGTGAGTATCCTAGACAGGCCAGGGGTGGGAAGACAGAGGAAGAAGGCCCCATCATGGCATGCTGCCCTGAGACAGAGCAGCACAGACTGGTGGCAGGATGAGGTGGGGATAAAGTGGGGGTTGTGGCCAGTTCCTTAGCATGGTGGTGCAGGGGAGGGAGATCCCCACTAGGCTCTGGACATGTGGACCTGAATCGGGGGGTGGGGGGGAGGTATGGGTATCTGTCCCTGAGGAATGGGTGTGTTTTTCCTGCCCACCTGTTTTTCCTTTCCTAACCCTGGGCACCAGCCAGCAGCCACTTCTGGAATGGTGGGGACATTCCCAGGTGAGGTCCTGCCTTCAGCCTTTGCCCTCTGCCCCGACTTGAGTCTCTCTGTCAAATAAACAACAACTCCTCATAACTGAGGTCTTCAGGGACTGGGGTCAGCCTGTGGCCTGTAGCTATCGGGGACCTGGTGTTAGGTTGGGCAGGGAGAAAAGGTGGGGGAAGAGGGGCTATACTGGAGAGTGGGTGGGAAGGGCTGTTGGGCAGCAGCCATCCCCAGGCCCGGTCACCCAGCCCTAGAGGAGCAGCCCCACCCAGGCACCACCGCAGGGTGCTGTAGTCAGGAGATCTCATTGCCAAACACCTCCAGCACGAGAGGTGTGAGCTTCATGCTGCACTCGGGCTGGAAGGAGAGGCAGCGGTACTGCTTGGAGTGCTCCTCGTTGAGGCTACGCAGGTCAGCCAGCTTCTGAATCATCTTGGCATAGAGCAGGTGGCTGCCTGGGGGTGGGTGGCGGCAGCGGATATAGGTCTGCAGTGTGTTGGACAGGCGGTCCTGGATGGCCTCGATCAGCGCAGCATCCTGCACTCCGGGACGGTCTGTAGGCACAGGGAGGCAGGAGGAGGAGGTACAGGAGCTCTGAGCTGGGTCCTTACTATTCAATCTCCCCACCACCCCTTGGTCCACATAGACAGACCCCCAACTTCAGCATTCTCCTAAGTCACCCCTGTATGACTACTGACCTGTGACATCACAGTCCTTAAAGGCCCTCAACCACTTCCTATTGCATTTAGGATCAAGCTGCAGGTAATTTTATGGGCCCATCTGGCCCTGTCCCTCTATCTTTACAGTCTTTCCATCAGAGTCTTTGGCCTTCAGATACACATTTATGTTCCCTCTGCCTGGAACTCAACTCTTTATCTTTGCCTGACTTTTACTGATCCTTTAGGTAACAGTTTAAAAGACTTTCAAGAAAGCCATTCCTGATAACTCCCTACCTCCATGCTCCAGACTACATCAGGTTCCCTCCTTTTATTATACCCATTTGTAGTATCACACACTTCTTTATTTTTTTAAAACTCTCATTACATTTGAAATTAGTTGTTAAATAGTATTTGTTTCATGTCTCCTCTTACACTTCATGGGAGAGAAATCGTTTTTGCTGCTGAATCCCTATGCCCAGCATAGTACTTAGTGCCTGGTAGTGCTCAATAAATCATTGCTGAGTGTATGTATGAATAAATGAGTGAATGCTGGCTGAAAAGGGGAGGGGAGCCCATATCCATTCCTTGGTTCCCCAGTCTAGGAAAGCATCCCTGGGTAGAAGTCACTTACTTGTTCCCTGAGTAGAGTCTAGGCTGAGACGGCGCTGCACCACTTTGGGCCTCATCACCAAATATAACATCCTTAGGACCACAATTACCTCCTCCTCAGCCTCTCTCCCTCTTCCCATCCCAAACAGGTAGAAGAGTTCATGGATCACAGCACACTGCCTCCAAAATTAGTCAGGTATACTGTCTAGGCGGAACCATTCATTGGTTCCCAGGTTTGTTTTTGTTTTTTTACCCTGCCCCCCTAGGAGAGCTCAAGTGTCAAGGAAGTTCGGTGTTATTCACACAACACAAGAGCAAACCCTGAATATTGGGACTATCCAGGACTGTCTGTGGTCTGAGAAACCCCATCTACCTGGCTCCCAAGAATCCCACCTATGAATCACTAACCGCCCCACTAGGTAAGGCCAAGGACAGTGGGGGCCTCAGTGTACAAACACCATATGAGCTTTGCAAACCCAGCAAAGTGGTTGTTTCCTGGTCTGTCTGTCTAAAATTTGCTCACTTCTCTCTTAAGACTGCCATGCTGGCTCTCATCAGGGCTTCATTTTCCCTATTCCCCATGTCCCAGGTCCCTGAGTTCCTCACCACTAAGCCTCATACCTGGAGAGACAATGCAGATGGCCATGAGCAGGACATGCTCTTCCTCATGCAAGTTCAGTTTCTTTAAACCGACCTGGAACTTGATGAGCGGCTCAATCAGGTCCAGGCTGTGTCCAGCTATGAGAGAGAATGGTCAGATGTGGGCTGAACTGAGGAGACACCCATTGCACCCTACCCCACCTCCAACCCTGACCAGGCCTGACCCTTGCCTTTCTCTCCCTGTTGCTGCCTGAGCAGGGCCCATGATCCCAGAATGGGTGGAGCCAGAGTCTGGGAGCTAAGAGAGGGTGAAGACAGAGCCCAGACACACCTTTGGTCACATCACTGATGCGGTACTTGTAGTCCTCGGCCCCACAGGTCCAGGACATGTCGTCCATGGTGAAGGACTGATTGGAGCGTAACATGATGACTTCGATGGCACTTGACTTCAGCAGCACAATCTGGTCCTCAGCGGTCAGATCTCTGCCAGGGAGGGCAGAGGTGAAGGTTAGATCTGCAAGTAATGCAAATCAGTGTAGTGTTTTGACAGGTCTATACCTGCCAGGTAACCAGTATGTGCCCTGGATCCTCCATTGAGGAGCTTAAAGCCTAGTTGGAAAGAATAAGACTGTTTCTTGAGGGAGACAACTCAAGACTGTATGTCAAGATAAGAAATGAAGTAGCTCAGCTACTAAAAAAGAGGAAAACCCAGTGACTTGCCAGGATCTCCCAGTTCTAATCAACCAGAGGTATTTTAGGGACAGGAGGATAGAGCCTGAGGAAGCTCCCAGGGTTATGACATGAATATGTGGTCTACAAATGAATGGCCAGAATCATTTTCAACAGCTCCCATGCTCCCCCCCCCTCCTCCTGTCCTCCAGTCCTTCCTAGTAGTAAGGTCAGCCAACTCTGTCTCTAGGACATCTCTGGAACCCTTGACCTCATTCCCACTCCCAGATGACAGTTATAGCTCCATCATCTTTTTTAGTTGCCTCCTACTAGAATTCTGGAGTCAAAACTCTTGTGTCTCTCATTCATCTTTTTTACTGCTGCTACAGGGAAGTATCACACTCCTGTGCTTAGAAATCCTCACTGATTATCAAATACCCAGGATCAAGCTTGTACTTTATAAATTAGCTCCAACCTGTCTTTCCAGCCCATTTCCCATTGCAAACCCCACCAACCCTCCATTCGAACAACTGTGGACCACTCCATGTTCCGATGCTGTGTTCTCACACCACCATACCTCTGAGCATGTGACAGCTGCAGCCAGAAATGCCCTTCTCCTTTTCCCCCATCTGGTCCTTCTGATCCTAAATCTGATGAGGTCTCCCTTGGAGTCCCCCACCCTCTGATTCTCTTCAATAGAATTGGAGCCATTCCCTTACAACCCCCTACACATTGCTTGTACTCCTATTTTGTCTTTCTCCCTTTGGCTTTGTTTTTTATATGCCTGATCTGGACCTTAACTGTAAGCTACTTGAAGGCTAGCATCACCTCTTAATTACCCACACACTGATCACTTAGCCCTGAGCACAAGAGAAAGTCAACAAATATGGGCTAATGGATCAAAAGTCCAATGACTCATTCCACTATTCTGCATCATGAGCTGGGCTTGTCTGAACAATGACAATAAAAAAGCAGAGCTTACAGATCATCTTGCTTTTGGTTTTTCCTGCCCTCTCTTCCTGACTGTATATTTCTGCCTGGATATCCTGTAGATAGGCTGTCATCCTCTCTGTGGCTATACTTTGGTTCATAAAAAGATGATTAGGGTGACTAGCAAAGAGTCTACATTGAAAAACCACAGAGTGGGAGAGCTGGAAGACCTCTCTTAGAGGCTATGTGGTCCAGTGTCTTCTTCAGCATTCCTGACACATGGTTCCCACACAGCCTCCCCAGGATTCTTGAGCCAAGGAGCTCATGGCCTCTAGATTCAGCCACAAATCTGTTAGCTCTTCATTAAGAGTCTTTATTCTGTTGATCTATAACTCACATGGTGACACATTGCTTGTACTTCTATTTTCTCAAGGAACACAGAACCAGACCTTTCCATTAGCTATGGGCATCCCTTTAACCTTTTAAAGAAAGCTACCATGCACCCCTTGCATCTTGTCCAGAACAGACAGCCCTAATGGCACGGCATCTAGACATCTCACCATCCTTGTCACTTTTCTCTAGATGTTCAATCCACATTTAAAAAAATAGAAACACCCTCATTTGGGTTTTAATTCATTATATAGCTAATACATGTTCATCATTACATCTTTAGAAAATACAGAAAAAATATAAAAACAAATAAAACTATTCATAACCACAATGAACATTTTGGTATATTTTCTTACCTTTTTTTCTATGCAAATATCTTTTTAACATACTCAAGTTCATAGTAATTCTGTCCCACTCCTTTTTTTCAAAATGTTTTTATTAATGTCAGAGAGAAGGCGATAGAGAAATATAAACATCAACGAGAGAGAAACATTGATCAGCTGCCTCTTGCATGCCCCCTACTGGGGATTGAGCTCGAAACTTGGGCATGTGCCCTGACCGGGAATCAAACCTGTGACCTCCCGATGCATGGGACATGCTCAACCAACTGAGCCACACCAGTTAGGCCTGTGTCCCACTTTTTACATCACTAAAATTTCTTTAGCCCAGTTCATAGAGGGTTGGATAATGTTATATTATATCAACATACTATAAGTTATTTAATCAGTCTCCTATCCACTTATTTTGGGACATTTAGTTGCTTCTAATTTTTGTTATTACAAGTAATTTTGTGAGAATTATCTTAGAACATAACCCTTTGTTCAATGGCCCACTAAAAATTAATGTCCAGAAGTGGTCAAACATCCCATGGGTGTTTGGCCAGAGAGATTGCTGGGGAGACCACTGCCTATTGTGATCTGGACTTCTATGAAAGCAAACCTAGAATGACCTTGAATTACTACCCATGGCCTGAAAATACAGGGAATTTCTAAGTGCAGCTCACAGCCAGAACTGGAACTGGTGGGGGTGAGGGTAGAGGTGGAGAAATCCTAAGAGACCTTGTTCCTGCTATGACAGACACCAGCTCAGGCTCTGTCTTCCTCCCTGGGCCTGTGTAGTGTTTATACCCTGATCAGTTTTTGCACCTGTGGCCGCTTCTGGGCACCTGTGATGAGCTCTGGAAATGTGTCCCAATCCTGGCTTTCCCACCCTCCAGGCAGAATCCAGCCCCTCCCACCTGTATTCCCACGGTCCCTCTAGCAGGCCTCTCTAGAGCTCTTATCTCCTCCCAGCAGTTGTTTACATGTCTATCTCTTCCATCAGACTCTGATCCTGGGAGGACAGAGATTGTGTTCTTGTCAACTTCCATCCCTCACAGTTTATGTAAGAAAGCAGCTGGTTGGATAGATGAACAAGTGAATGCAAAGGGAAGGACATCGGAAGCACTCCGTCCCTCAGGTCTGAGACCCAGGAAGGAGCCCCTGGGAATGGAAATGCCAGTGAGGTTGAAGGCTCTTAGGCCACAGGGCCGGGCTCCAGCTGATTTGGCCTGGTCTCTCATGCACCTCTCTTGGCAGTGAAACCTGTGGTCCTCGACTCCCCGATCCAGAACTGCTCCTGGCCCCACTTCCTCCATGCATTTCTTTTGCAGCACGGAGGGAGGGATATTGGTGGGGTGCAGACTGAGAGTCTGAGGGAGGGGAGGAGGGAGTCAGGAGCAGGGCCCAGGCCACACCACAGCACTGTTCATACCCTACAGTCCATCCAGTCCTACCCTACTTTGGTCCCATGCCCACATTAGAGTCTCATCCTGTTCCCCCACCACCCACTCACCCACACAGACGTCTAATCCTGCCCTCCCCACACCCTCCACCCCTGCCTACGGGCAACAAGATCAAAGCCACCAAGGACATAGCCACTGTTCTTGCACTCCTTGGAAAAACAGAACCCCTAAGTACAGAAACCGGCAGAACCGGAGAGCTGATGGGCTGGCCCCACCTGGGTCCCCCCAGAACAGTGGTTCTCAACCTTCCTAATGCCGCGACCCTTTAATACAGTTCCTCACGTTGTGGTGACCCCCAACCATAAAATTATTTTTGTTGCTACTTCATAACTGTAATTTTGCTACTGTTATGAATCGTAATGTAAATATCTGATATGCAGGATGTATTTAGGCGACCCCTGTGAAAGGGTTGTTTGACCCCCAAAGGGGTTGCAACCCACCAGTTGAGAACCGCTGCCCCAGAACCTGGGCTCTGGCCCTCTTCCAGGCTCCACATCACCTCTGTATCCACATCAGTGTGCCCCCAAGAGCTCTTTCCAAGGCCTGCTCCATTTCTATTAGAACACAGTCCGATGAGTGACTTCTCAAGTCATGCTGAGGAGAGGGAAGCCAACCCAAGCATGTCAGGATCAAGTTACACGGTTTTGCATCCATAACTGCACAGCTCCAGTACCTGCTCAGGTACATGTCATTTTGGCCATGACTGCAAGGCTAGACAAAGGAACTCTGGAAATGAGGCTTGAAAGGGAAGAAAAGTGAAAGACTTCAACTCATCCTCGGGGAGAGAAATTGAAGAACTGGTAGTGTTATTTGTGAAAGCGTATATGTGCCGAGGTTAAGGGATAGGGGCCAAGGGCATGGGAGAAAAATGGGGGTTTGGGTTACGTAATGGAGGGGGCTGCCATGGGGTAATCTGGTTAAATGAGTGGCTTTCTTTTCGGGACCATTTCCCTCGTATGCCATCCCAGCCACCACTTAGAATCACCAAACCTTAGCATGAGATGGCCTTTCATCCCCCTCCCCACTTGGCAGGGAAGGATGGACCCTGCCTAAATGAGAACTGCTCCCTTAAATTAAGATGAAAGCCGGGTGCTGCCATGTATCCGTTGGCACCCTGAGGTGTTTTTTTCCTACGGCTGTTTACATAAAACAAGACTCTGGAACACATGGAGTTTGCAAACAATAACATGAAGAGTGGAGGAGAAAGTTGGAACTTGTACTAAGCGGAATGTGCTGTCTGTTCCAAGGAAAGGCTCTAGTCTAGAGGGTAGATCCCAGGCCCAGCACAATGCTGAGCTCACAGGTGACAGCAGCTCACTCCTGCCTGACTGCCAGAGTGCCCCTTACTCCCTTTGCTACAACCAAATGTACAATGCAGTAAGCGTCTCAATGCCATTTGTTTTTTTTCTTCTTTACAATTTTCCCATTAATTCTAGGGGAAGAGCATTGGAACACCCCTGGTATTTGGAGTGGTGAAAGGCATAAAATAACACAGAGCCAGCGGTCTTGGGGCAGAAACAAACTGGGCAGTGCTGGGTTTTAGCCTTGTGAATTACCATTATCTAGCTGGCATTGTGGTAACTTAGATAGTAACTGATGATTTCCCTAAGTAGCAGAGAGATTCACAAAACAATAAATGGTACCCCATTTCAGTTTCCATTCAGAGCTGGCCAATGTGAAATTGTTTTCTGGCTCCAGCACTGAATCTGAA